TGCCTGTTTTGCTTCTTTGTAGAAGAGGGTCATTTTTTTGGATTTTATTTTGATTCTGTTCTTAGTCCTGACTACCTATGAGTCTGGATTTTTTATGTGCAAATGATTTGGGCACCTAATACTCTGTGCCAAATATCAACTCTCGATATGTACTCCTTCATACCTCTATGCTGGTAACATAAAACATGATTTTATAAACAAGACATAGTCTTGTCAAAAATAACAGTTTATTCAGATATGTCTAACGGTTATGCTGGCTTTTCACTTAGTGCACTTGTGTCACCATCACACAATGATTTATAGAGCGACAATTTGGATGATTTGGAAGATGGAAGGTGATTTGCAATGAATCATGGGAATTTTTTTAAAATGGTGGCAAAACTTTTAACTTAAAACAGAGTTTTATATTTTTCAATTTAATTTTGTATTTAATTTAAAAAATTTAGTATTTGCTATATTTTGCACTTTTTCTAAATTTCCACATCATACTGTATGTAGTACTAAGGATGATGGTTAAAACTATAATGTCACATACACTTGAAATTATGGATGCTACATACTGATTGGCTGTGACAGAATCACCACGTGAAAATATACACTGCCCTAGTACTGTCTCCAAAGTACTCAAAGGCAATTTTACTGTGCATGAGCAGTAACAATGATTGAATGGCCTGAAAATTGCACTAAGTGGACAGCTGGAATTAGAAACTGCAATATGTTAACCTATTATTATCATATTTTGAACTTAGTTTTCAAATGATAAACAACATTTCCAAAAATTTCTAAACAAGAAATATGCAAGTTAATACTTATTGGACTGCAGTTTTCAAATTGCAGATTTGTAGATTCTCACTGTGGTCTGTTTCTCCATCTGTCCATCCTTAATCTTGAGAATGGAGTTATATAGATAAAAATTGAGACCAGATATGGAAAGCTTAGGGGCTGGAGGCCTGATTAACTATATACTATCTTCCAGTCTGGATCAGAAGTCATATGATTCTTTAAATTAAAATACAATTAAAAATTGCAGCCTGGCATTATGACAATATCAAAATAATTTTTCAATTTTTAAGTTACCTTGTAATCTAGTAGTCTCAATTAACAGAGACCATTTATTGAAGTTCCATATTATCTGAAGTGAATTGTGGAAGAATATTTTGTCAATAAAGATGACAGAATTTAATACAGCATAGTTTACTTTGTGAATCTTGATCAGTTGATGCACAGTATTCAAAGAGAGCTCTAAAAATTTTTAAAAGAATTTAATTTGATGACTTTTCACAACAATTTTGAAAAAGCTTAAAGGAATTTTAATTATAATTGTGGCATTACATTTACTTTAATAAACAGAGTAAATGAAATTAGAACTGTTTTATCATATAATTTAAGTCATTATGTTCAGTCAGTAGATCTAATCAAAATACAGTGTGTCATTTGCAGCAATGCATTTATGTTAATGCATCCAAATTTAGCTTATTTAATCTCTCTAAAATACCTTTATGGTTGAAATTACCATAGATAATCAAGAATACTGTATTTGCAACACTTTTGTGTACATGTTTATATACATTAACACATAAATTAACTTTTTACTGTATAGATATCTAGACAGTATTGCAAAAAACTTATTTTTAAGTAAAAACAAAATTGATTTTGTGGAGAAAATAGCCATTGAAATATAAAATGATTATCATTTCCATAGTTCTTGATTATTCTATGTTTTGTTTTATATTCTTTTAATAATCAAAATATTTTTGATGAAATTTGATTGCTGTACCATAAAAATTTTATGTAGTTTTTCCTTTTTTCTCCCCTTCATCCAAATCATTTATTTTAAAATTCATAAACTTAAGTATTATATGTTAAAAAATGAAAATAATGCAAATCCATTATCTGTAAGATCATGCATTCTGTTCAATTTTTAACTTAGGTGAAAAGAAAAACTTAAATTAATTTTTTTAGTATTTTACCTGTTACTCTGAAATTTTTTCAAAATACTTGGTCATAATTACAGATTTGAATTTTAGTTGTAATAAAATAAAATTTTTTTCATAATGTAATAATTATGACATTTATTAAAAAGTTAACAAGATATTACTTATTTTGTTTGTACATAATATCTTAAAAATAATTCATAAAAGTGTAGATGTTCTTTGCAAACTTTTGCTTTTGTAAAGTATAAATGTTAGATGATGGTTGTTGAAAAATCTCTATATAAAACTCATTTCAGTTTTCTTTTTTTCTTACTTTAAATAAATTGAAACCATTGTATACTTGCTTACTGGAGAATAAATTCAATAAAAATAAAAATCATTCAACTATCCAGCATAATTCTTTAAATAACATAAAAACGTTTTCAAACGCATTAAGTGTTCATCGTCAGTTATTTCTCTAATTTGAAAATGGGAAATTCGAAAAATTATGCAAGCGAATTTCAAATAAATGGTTATGCAAAAATTAAAAGGTAACATGTTATAAACGAAAGTGATACATACGAATTTCCGTATGTTTAATAAATAATAATAAAAATAAGAATTTCCGAAAATAAGAACTTACAAACAGTTTATTGACATAATCCCACCATATACAGGATATTAAGGAATGACAAGGGGGATTATGAACGTAACTCCTTAACAGGAATGTACTCAATACTGCTAAGAGATCATAGGTTTAACTCTAACTTAGTATATATAGGTGTAACTTTGAGGAATTTGAAAAAAGAATCAATGAACATAAGCTTTCAGTGAACAAAACAGTTGACAGTACGGTCCTTGCCACTTATGCTAAACAACAAGGCATTACTGTCTTCTGGGACCTGGCCTCAAAAGCTACCAGATCTTGACATGCAGTAAAATATCTTGAAAAGCTGGAAATCCATAGGGCACAGAAGAGCACGCAGTGTATCAACTATAGGGATGCCGACAGGCTTTCATCGGGTGGTAATCTCCCCCACCTGACTTCAGTGGGATGAGGTTCCTGTTTTGCTTCTTTGTAGAAGAGGGTCATTTTTTTGGATTTTATTTTGATTCTGTTNATCTATATAAAAGGCTTAATTAGACTTAGGATGATCCTTGATAGATATTTTATTTATTTATTTTTATTATTATTTATTAAACATACGGAAATTCGTATGTATCTCTTTCGTTTATAACATGTTACCTTTTAATTTTTGCATAACCGTTTATTTGAAATTCGCTTGCGTAATTTTTTGAATTTCCCATTTTTGAATTAGAGAAATAACTGACGATGAATGCTTAATGCGTTTGAAAACGTTTTTATGTTATTAAAGAATTATGCTGGATAGTTGAATGTTTTTTATTTTTATTGAATTGAATCCATTATAATCTTTTTATAAGACAGTGACAACTATATGTAAATTCAAAGTAAAAATATGAAATTTCAGTTTATTTGTTTAGTGCCATGGCAGCCAAACTACATGTTTTCTAGATCTTTATTGTAGCTCCCATATATTGAATTTCTAACTGTAATACACATACACACTAAATACATTATATGCAGAATATCGTGTTTCAATGTAGAATGTGGCTGTCACATATTTCTGATATGCAATATATGGCTCCTATCAAGAGAATTTTGACCACCCCTGGTTTAGTGTATTCAGATTAAAGTATAATGAAATGTGAAATAAAGAAGTACTCATTGTGAATTAATTTGTACTATTACTTTTATTTTGAATTTATATATTGTTGATACTATTTTCTAAGTGGATTACCTTAAATAGTAGCAGACATTCAATAGTAGCAGACATTTGCATTTTATAAAAGATTTTCTTATATTTTTAAAAGTTATGAAATTAAGTGATACAGTATATTTCATTTTTCTCAGTTATTTCACTTATATATCTAAGACTTGAACAGTTTGGAAATATATGAGATGGAATATAAGGTTACGTAATGAATGCCAATACTTACATTTATTAGAATGACATTTTATTATGTGCAAAATGTGTTAAATTATCTTTTAATTTTTATGTTTTAATAATGTTCTGAAATTAAATTCTTGTTTGTCTCGTTTCCATACTTTAGAGAAAGTATGGAAACTTGAAATATTTGTTTTCATACTTTAGAGAAAGTATGAAAACAAATATTCAGAATACAATAACTACCTAATATGATATTTTAATCAAATAATATGATAAAAAATGATTTTATAAGTAATTAAATACTGTGAAAATCAAATATAACATTCCTAAGTCATTATAAATCAGTTTTTAAAAATAATTTAACAATAACAGGCATGTAAAGGAAATTTTCTCTTAATGTGTTCATTTTAAGAGAGATCACTTAAAGGATTAAAAAAAAATTATAATGAAGGTATAATGTAAGATGAAATTAACAAATGTTTACATTATTGAAATTTACAACATAATTTTCTTTTATAATACTAAGTGATAGCCTGTGAAAGATATTGTACAGTAAGACCCTGCTTAAAGCTGCCTCGCTTAACGCTGATTCGATATAATGCGGTCTGCTTGAAGCCTTAAAAAAACTTGGATACAGTTCATCAAACATTAGGTGAAATTTTCCTTTAAGCAGCCTTTGCTCCAAATTGGATGGATGAGTAGTGTTTTTTGTTGTTGTTGATTTTTTCTGTTTTATGAAGAAGTATACAGCATACACCACAGCAGCTTTATGAAATCCATACTGATGAATGCTGAAATGAAATAAGTTTTTGGAGTAACAGTCACTTACTGTGTTTACAATGACAAAATGACAGCGACTTAACAGTCACACAACAAAAAAGATAACTGTGCAGTTAGTCTTATACATGATATTGTTCTCTTTAGAATTTTATATTATTAAAGCATAAGTGTTTTATGAATAAGGTTGAGCTTTTAATATAAATTATTGATAAAAGATTTTATATTCAAATGTTTTATAACAAATATTAAACAAAGTTAGAATTAGAATTGAATTTAAAATAATATTTAAAACTTATTTATTTTTAATAACAGACTTTTAATGGATATTTTATTTTAGGAAAAGCGTGCATGAATTGAGAAGTCACAATGTTATTTCATCAAATACATCAACTACTCAAGTTGAAATTGAAAGTACAGTAACTGTGAAGTCTCATTCTGCAACTGAAACTGAATTTATACCTCCACAAAGGAGCTTTACTCAACCTTTAACATCCCTTGAAAAAGAAGGAGTTGTGAAAAGCTCCGGTGGAAGTATAGCAGAAAGGTATTTTAATATTTTTCTAATGCAAACACTAATTTAATGAAATATTTGATATAGTTCTATTAAGTACGTTTATCCTTATAGGCCAAATGATCTTCCAGATTACATCAGGCTACTATTATAATAATTAAATCTTAGGTAATTTTGCCAAGACATTAGGTGCCATCTCTTGATAAATTTAATAATTATGAATAAATTAATATTTAATTTAGAAAGTTCTGGAAGGAAAGAATCAGTCCAGAGTGAAACTTGAACATGCAATCTCTGCTTATTTTGTTTATATATATTAATTATTAATAGTTCTGGGGACAAAGATTGGAGGAGGTCTGGGTAACATAACTGGCAACATATTTGCAGAATAAGTGGGAGTTGCAGATTTGAGTTCCACTGCAGACTGATTTTCTTCCAGAACCTTCTAAATTAAATATTAATTTATTCATAATTATTAAATTTATCAAGAGAAGGTACTTAAAGCCTACTACCTCTAGGGAAGGTTACTTAATATTTAATTATTGAATAGTAGCCATATTATAGCTTGATCTAATCTTGCATTGTTTGNGATTATTTTGCCTTAGTGAAAATTAGGTTATTGGATGTTTTTATTTGTATTTACTCATATATTTAGTGATTCAGTTTTAATAACATAATATTAAATGAAATACAAAATATATTATATTTAATTAAATTTATATTATAATACAATTTTTTAAATTTTGATGTAAGACTTTCATGAGACTAAAATCATTATTATATATTTTAAAATAAATTTATGATGACAGATAAATATACATAGGCGGTTTTTTTTTCAACCTCTGATGGTCCATAAAACAAAGACAAGTGTAAATAACAAAATGAATTTATTACCAAAAGTTAGGTACAAACATAGTTACTTTTCAACATAATCACTGTGAAAATGGAGGCATTTGTCTATCTGTGGATGAGCTTTGAAATACCCTCTTCCTAAAATGTTGCTGCCAGTGACTTGAGATTCGCCTTAATGTTGTTTTGAAAATTGTCATTAGTCTTGAACTTCTGCCCTCCTAGCCATGTTTTTAGTTCAGAAAAGAGTGGAAATCACTCAATGCTAAATTTGGGTTGTACACTGGGTGTTAAAAGTTCCAAGCTAGGTGGACGTCTGAAAGGTGAAAATCTTCACACCTTTCACCTTTCAGACTTCCTTTTTCCTGAACTGAAAACTTGGCTTGCAAGACAGAGGTTTGAGACTAATGACGATCTTTAATGTTAAGGCCCATCTCAATCATTTGAGGCAACATTCTATGAAGAGGGGATTTCAAAGCTTGTCCAAAGATAGACAAATGCCTCAATCTTCATGGTGAGTATGTTGAAAAGTAACCATGTTTGTATCTATATATATAACTTTTGGTAATAAATTCATTTTGTTATTTACACTTTTGAAAAAAATACTGCCTTTGTAAATATATATATATACTAGGGATGCCACAAATAGTGATTTTGCCGAATACCGAATATTCGGCTATGTTCTCAGCCAAAGCACCGAATGTTCGGCAAAATATGTGTACATTTTGCATGTGACAGGTTACAACCTGTCTCATTGCGTTTGGTGCAGTAGCAACACCGCAGGCACATTTGTTTTATTTGCAAGTAGATTGTGTCATGACATGCATTATTTGTTCACTGTTACATCAAATTGTGTTACTAATAGTCCTTATTACTAAAAAATATCACTGTTTGTATCACTTTATATGAAAACTGTTTGCCTAGATTGGACAGCAGACCTTTACAAGTGGTGGTCGGCAAATGCAAAACAGTATCCAAGCCTGACAGAATTCGCTAAGATTTATCTATCGTCTCCCGGCAGTAGTTTATATAGTGAGAGGTTATTTTCAGAAGCAGGTATAGTTCATGAGGAAAAGTGCAATCGTTTGCTATCAACAAATGCTGAAAAAATTGTTTTCATTCATCACAACTTACCACTGATAGATTTTAAGTATTAAATGTAATAATTTGTGATTAAAATAAATACGTTTTTGAGTAATATGTGCCTTTTTTTTTGTTTTTCATGATTCAGTATTCGGCCGAATAGTGTGCAGCATTCGGTTGAATACCGAATATTAAAAAAAGTAGCCGAATAGGCCGAATACCAAATAGTAGCTGAATATTCGTGGCATCTCTAATATATACATAACTCATATTTAATGTACTGTACACGATTTGATATTGTTAAATTTGTTATAATAAAATGACTTGGTAATAAAGTTTTAAATAGCCATACATACCAAATATTAAAAAAAAAGATAACATATACCACTGTCTGTCAGTGTCATGTAAAATTAATTTATCTTGTGAGTACTTTAACAATATATAACTGTCAAAAGTACTTGCAAAATCAATAATTTTATGTAATGCCAACAGACAGTGGTATATGTTAACTTTTTCTATAAAATGACTTACCATATTCTTTAAAATTCATTAGCCATTCCTCGTGAAATGTAAGAAGTAAAATAGTATAGAGTTTTATTTTATTTAATCAGAACATAAAAATGAAAATTTAAAATTGTAATCATATTAATCTAGCTGACTAGATGGCTAAGATGGTTAAGAGTCACTTTAATGCTCTGGTGGATTTGGGATCAATTCTGGGCAGTTAAAAATACCAGGAATTTTTTAGGGTGGATATGTTAGGCCTTTTCCCTCACCACTCGGCTGTCTTATTGTTGGACTAGCCAAATCAATGGTGGCTTGAAAAAAAAGGTTTCTCTTAGTGCCTACAGAGTGGAAAGAGTAAAAAAATAATCATATTAGTTAGGACATGAAAACATTGTAATTTTGCATTAATTATATTTAAATTTTTTACTAAATTGTCATATTGATAATTTTATAATCTATAACTATACAGTATAATGGTATATATAATTGTGGATGATGTATATTTTATTTTTTTGCAATTTACTTCAGACTTGCTGCTCTTCATAGAAGTGGAGAAGAACAGTGGCGTAAAAGATTGACTTCATTAAAATCAGATAATCCAGAAGAGGAAATTAATACATCACCAATTCAAGCATCAAAGCAGTCATCAGTAAGAATTTTTTTTTTATATATACTATATAAGTATATTTCAAATTTACTGTTTCTTCTAAGAACTTATAAATGATAAAATTGATTAAAATGATTCTGATTACTTGATGCCATAATAAATACATAAAATATTAAAAAATGCTTACTTCAAGAAGTAAGCATTTTTTAATATTTTATGTATTACTAGCTGTAAGGACCCGCTTCGCTGGGTTTTTACAGGTCCTTACAGCTACTAAACTAGCTGTAAGGACCTTTTAGCTAGTAAACTAGCTGTAAGGAATTTTTAGTTACAGGTCCTTACAGCTAGTAAACTAGCTGTAAGGTCCTGTAACTAAAAATTTATTTTTTCAGAGAAATGTTTTTATTCTTTTAAAGAACAGTTTTTCTCTGCATTTAGAGCATATTTCAAGTCTTTGACAGATTGAATCAAACAGGTTAAAAGTACCATTTATTATATTATTTTAAGTTTCACAAAGTTCTTGCTTCTCGTTACTTAATTTGATTAAAAATTCCTCTTGCACCGGATTCTTATAAAAATATTTCTTGAAAACAAAAATCCAGGATGAAATATATTTTAAAAAATTTGAAGACTACAATTTTAATCAATTTACATATTCATAAGCAGAGAAGAGCCTCAAAAGAAAGGTCAACTTTGCTCATGTTAATTGTGTTCCTGTGGTTGTAAAGGATGTGTGAAGACATCAAATTTTTAGTCGTATTTCTTCAATTTTTAAAAAATATGTTAGTAAAAGTTTTCCTTTTATAAAATTTGTTTCAGTTTAATATACAGGTAGCCCTCGGTTTATGCCGATTTACAATAACGCTGTTGCACAATTCACGATTTTGCTGTGTAATTCCCCGATTTTCCCTATGCCAGACTGATTTTCGTTTCAGTGTTGATGTATTTATCGAGCCGCGATATTGTACATTCGTTAAAACAGATTTTTATTGAATATATTTATTTTTTCTGTTTAATATTATTTGGTATGTATACATTTGCATTAAATTAATATTAAATTACTAAACATTTAGGTACCCACGAGTCAAGTTATCAAACTTAATAGTCGAATAAATGGCGTCTGAATCCATAGCGCCATTGAATTTATCCCATATCAGTTCGTTGAGGAAAACACCTTACGACTCAGTAGCACTTCGGGCGATCACAAACTATCATTAGTGAGACAAATCCTTAATTTTCCGGCTCAAACTGACCTTACATATGCGCTACGGCGATCAGTGGTCGACCAATCAGTGTCTCCGCTCGTCCGTAGCTCTACGTTGGGTTAACGTATCCTTTCAACTATGGAAAGTTTGACGGTTGAACTTTGTGAGTTAGACAATGATTGGGAGCGAAGTGCAAATGTAAAAAGGAGCATCGTCCATCCATTCGACCATATTCCAAAATTCTCAATGAAAGAAAACAAAAATGTAAACAATTAAAGATGGATACTTTTTCCGAAAAATGTAAGAGATCCGAAACTAAAATTTTTAATAAAAACATTTAACTTTATTTTATGATAAAATACATTTTAAAAATTAAATTTATTTGTACTTTGTATTATATTGTATTAATAAACAAAATTATTTGCGTCTTTTTCACTTATGTGGAACCTAACCCTATACCTCAGTGTAAATATGGGTTAGTTTTACGCCGATTCGATTTGCGCTGGCTTTTGTAGGAATGGAACTGCGGCATAAACCGAGTACCTGTACAATTAAGAAAAATTAAACATAAAAATCATAAACTAAACACAACTGGAAAAGAAAAATATTGCTTAAGATTGAATACAACAATATAATAATCACAATTATATTTTAAATTTATCATTAACAGCTACAGATTTAATAGCACAATAATCTAATGATTTATGAATAACATTGTATATCTATACATTGAGCCCTTTGTGAATCATTTATTGGTGTAATATACATTTCTACAGCATTCAAATTTGAATTCAATTCTTTCTTAGAACAATCCATTAACTGTATATTTTTGGTTTTTGTCATTGTTGTTTAGTAAAATTGATAATAATTTAAGAAGAATATAATGACGAGAAATAGAGATCATTATTTTTAGTCATTTGATAAATTTTAACAAAGTATGTTGCATTTTTCAATGTACTTTAGTTAATTTTAAGTCAGGTCATAGTATCAGAAGTAACTGATTATCTTGAAACTCAAAAAATATAAAATTATTTCTTGAATACAGCAGTGATAGAATTTACTTGATAGTGTCATCTACGTTGGATCGTGTTCTTTACCACAAGTTAAATATACCAATTTTGCCAGATAATGCTCGCACAAATTCAAAAATTAATAAAATTGGGTAAGTCTGAGTTACATTGCTGCAGTGGAGAAGAGAACTTAAAATTATACAGACATTTGGGTAAATTATTAGATGATGGTCTTTGCAAAAATTTTGATTAAAAATTTTTATAATTTAATCTTCCCTAATAATTAATAAAAACAATAAATATATATTAAAAACATTTTAACTGTAATTTTTTTCCAGATTAAATAAACTGACATTTCTGTTTTGTTAATAATTACTTTTTATACTAGATAAACATTATTATATTTAATTATATATTTTAATTTATTAATTATTTTTTTTTATTTAAAAGAATTCACAGAATCAACGCTCATCTATTATTGCTGATCGTCTATCACTTCTTGAAGTTGCTCAAGATCAATGGCGTACCAGAGTAGAAGAAAAGGATGCCACCAAATTTACAGTTGCTGGAAAAATGGGTCAAATTGCTCCTCAGCAAAGCCCATTATTAGACAGAGAAAGAAGACATCCTAAGCCTGTTAAATTTAGAAGCAAAACATGTATGTAGTATCATTTCATTTTATGTTATTAATATTACAAAATATGTATAATTCCCAATATGTGTCAAGACAACAAATCTGCCATTTCATAAACAATGATGTTCACTCAAAACTTACATGTATTTTAAGTTTAGAATTAATTAATTTTTGTCATAGTTTTTATTTTCTTTATTTTCAAGTAATTTGGTGATGATGACAGAAATCTATTTTAATATAGATTTAACTCCAATCTGAGTATTTTAACAAAATTATTTAATTATTTTATGCATTTTATACAATTTATTAATTAAGTAAAATACTTTAAAAAATATAAATTTAATAAAAATAAAATAAATTCAATAAAAATTTATGCAAACTCTTTTATTAGTAATTCAAAAATTTCTGATATTTTCTGTCAGTCTTGATTCATTTAAATCTTACTTTTTAACAAAAATGTATCTTTCCTCTGAATTACTGGATAAAAACTACAACATTCAATCTGCATATTGCATATTAGACACTTCATATAAAATTTGTTTTTATAATATCTAAAATTTGACAATATTAAAAGTTTTGTTTTCATGCATTACAACAAATATGTATAGTAAAACCTTATTAATCTGGACTCTAATAATTCTGATTTCACTTAATCCAGACAACTGTGCACATCATAACTATCTGACATGTTACATTAGCAAGTTGGTATATACATATTATAAAATATCATATTTTTAAAATTTTAATTTAAAAATTATAGTAGTTTTTAAATTAAATAATTGTCTTAGCATCTTTTATCATACACTCAGGCTTAGAAAACTTTATGTATATTGTATGTATAGGATGTATGTATACAATGCATAGAAATGTTTTAACTATTTCAGTTGCATTTTTTAAATAAAAATAACTACTTCTATTTTAATGAATTTATAACACTGAATACTGTTGTTTAATTGCTACTTGTTCTCCTGATAGATCCTTTAGTGATATGAATGAATTTTTCTGAAAAACAAATCATACAAGGAAACAAGTAATTGACTATTCAAACTTTATTGTACAAGGAAATGCATTTTGGGTCTCTTGTCAGTTAATTCAGACATCTGTTCATTTCCTTAGTCTAGATTAATGAGGTTTTACTGTATTGTTTCAATAATATTTCTTAGAATATTATTTATTAAGCCTACATTTTTATATATAAATTTTTCTCTTTACATTTCATTAATTAATAACAATGTGTTTTCTTTCTTTTTCACAAAATATAATTATTTTAAAATTTGTCCTTAAGATCTTTAATTTCCATTTTTTTAAAACTATTGTCTGTATAACTTTGTATGAAATAAGATATTTTGTTCTTTTACTCAGAATAAATGGTTTCATAACACTCAGAAATTTTCTTTTATCTATTATGAGACATAAATTTGTCATTCTTTGGAAATAAAGTATTTCTCTAACATGATTCTTTTAAATAATACAAATATTATGTATGTATATATTATTATTATTTTTTTAGTTTGTAGAAAGTATTAACTTCATTTGAGAACAAAATATTTTTGTGTGCTTCTTGTATTTGAAATAATTTATTAAGAATGCTTTTTAGGCTATAAAAATATTCCAGATATCTTACAGTCTTCAGATATGTTTTATTCAAGTTAACACTTAATATAGTTTATTTCTCTTATTAAATTGATTTGTTTAAAAATTTGACATGTAATTAATTAATTACAATAGAAATTTTGAAATTGATACTATAAACTATTAAATTTGGGATTTATTGGAAAAGAATATTTTATTGATTGACAAACATAATATAATTTTTTTTTAAATTCATTTACAATATAATTAATAAAATACATATTTTATTTGTATAAAAGCAAATAATAATCAACAGACTCAATGATGACTGCAAAATGAAATTGCAAATGTTAGTTATTCTTGCTGGATTTTAATTGTATTGAGTCTGTTGATTATTGTTACATCCAGTTTTCAAGTCTACAATGTATTATTAAATTTTTTATATTAAATTTTCACTGTAAAAGAAAATTTATGTACTTTAATCACTAAAAATTTGCCAGGAAAATACATTAAAATAAAAGTGAAAATATATTTATAACATAAATTTGAACTATTTGAATACTTAAATAAAATTTTTAAGTATCATAATATTATAATTTTATAAGTGAAATAATTCTGTATTTATTTCTGCAGCTAATATAGATGAAGTCATAAGAAATTCAAATTCTCCTCAGCATAAACCTACTCCCATATCTAAAAGTAAATCCATGCCCAATGCTCTAAAAAGTAAGTTTTAAAATTTTTAAGAAATTAAAAATAAATTATTTGATTAATTTAATTTAATTTTGAACATATGAATAGTTCAAAATTTCATTTTATTAATATTAAAGGAGTATTTTCACAACTGTATTATATGATATGAAAGAATTAGTCATTAAATATGTTAGTTCTAAATAATTAAATTGAAATTAGCAAATAATTTCTATTAATTTCAATTTACGTATTTTTGCTTTTGCTAACAACTTAAAAAATAAAATTTAAGTTATTAGTTAGTGTGTTAATATATTTAACTACATCACTTTGAATAATTGCAATAAAAAAAAAATAATAATAAAAATTTTAAGAAGTTTTAAACATGTTTACTACTATAGTAGTTTCCCGCAAACTCCACTTTGTAGACCAGTGTTTCTCAACGGGGGCGATATCGCCCCCATGTGGGCGTTTTTCCATGTTGAGGGGGTGATTAGTAACAGTTTATATTTTGGGGGGGTGAAAAACAATTTTCTGGGTGATATAGTAAAACATTATATTAAAAATAATTAGATATTTTATTCATTATATCCATCAATAATTAAACAAATAACATTATACTAGTCACTAGTCTATTCAATGCAGTACGAATTTGGCGTTAGCATTGGCCCACAGCATCGGAATTTTGAAGTGAAGGGGGCAATACTACGTAACAGTTTTATTGAAGGGGCGATACTACATTGAAGGTGGTGACAATTTGTTAGAGGTTGAGAAACACTGATGTAGACTGAGCAACTGACAAGTTATCAAAAATGATGAGTTTTGCAGTATAGCAATGATGCTAGTCTAATTAGCAGAATTTTTGTAAAGTTGTTATACAGTATGTGCAAGTTTGTATATGTCGAAGCTGATTCAAAAAGTAAGGTAACTGGAGCTCTCACAGGTGTCATATTCCTCCTCTTGTTCGAATTTCCCATTAGGGCAGCAGCAGAAGACCATAGCTTTATCACATAGGCATTAGATGGCACAAATGTTGTTTCAGACTCTTGGAATATCATTTTGAAAATGGCTGCACTCACAGAAACGTGGTCAAATGTGGAAGTGTGTAGTGTGAGGTACAGGAACATCCTCCCTACAGCTCCAACTTGGCATCCTCTGATTTCCATCTCTTCAGGCCATTGAATAAGCACCTGGGTGGTAAGCAATTCCAAACTGATATGGAAGTTCAGCAAGCTGTTATGACATGGCTGAAGAGACTTGATGCAGATTTCTTCTCTGCCAGCATTGATGCATTGGTATATCACTGGAATGTATGTTTGGATAAGCATGGTGACTATGTTGAAAAATAATATGTATCAGTGCCATAATAATCTGTGTCACTATATCTGCCTGTGAAATAAAATTTGTACAGGAGAGCTCTTGTTACCGTACTTTTTGAATCATTTATGTATATTAACTACATACCAGTAGTGACTATATCTAATTGTCATTAAATTTTAATTTAAAAAAGTATTGTCTATTGGGTGGCTGCTTACATGTTAGTGACATCTGTGTCATGACATTTTGCAGTGGCACCTTTAAAAAGGGTTATATTGTTTGTTAACACATGGAGTTGTTGCTATTTTGAAGTGTCTTCAGTGAAGAATAATAACTTATTTGATCTTAGTGTTAAGTTATAGAGATAAAAATTACATTACCTTTTTTGTATGACAAGACAAGTTTTACAGAATGTTAAGTTATCAAGAGTTGAGTTTCTAGGACTCTATTGTATTTGAATTCAGATTTTATTTCATTTAATAATTGCTATGGTTAAAAATAATTAATTTTAAGCTAGAAGATTATTAAGTTAAAAATGCTTTGCTTAGTTTTTAAATGATTGAATATATATTTTTAAATATAAACTAGGAGGTGTTACTTTTTGATAATTAAAATTTGAAAATTATTTATTATTCTGTCTTGAAAAATATTACAGAAGACACAACTGTAAATCATATCTCATCATCGTCATCAGAAAGCGAAGAAGATTTATCTGCAACCAGAGTTTTGGTTCCAAAAGCAGATAATGAAACTTTTACATCATTTTTTGAATCAGTTGTTGCGAAGAAGTCACAAGAAAAAATAGAAATACAAGAAAAAGTAGAAATCAATGAAGATGTGTTAAAAGAAATTACTTCAGAATCTCATCAATTGTAAGTTATTGATTTTGTACTAATAGGATGTTTTAAAATGACTACATTGGACAGAAAATCAAATAACTTTAACTAGTAATTGATGTAATGATTAGTTTTGGCAAGAGTAATGCTTTAATTTATAAAATTTTAGTTCATTATAATAATTTCTTCTATATTATTGTTGTTCAAAAAGTTAATTTGCTTTTATAATAGGTAATATTGTTGCTTTTTTTCTAGCATAAAGTACTTGTTCCAATATATACAAATACTATTCAATATCTGTACATATTTCAATTTATGTTGTGAAAACAGATGATTAACCTTCACTACACATAATTTGATATTAATAATTAAATGATTAATAATTCTATTTATAGATTAGCTCATCGAAAATCAGTAAGATTACAGTCAAGACGATCTGCTACACGCAATCCAATTCGTGCCTTAGCTTCACGCACAGATCTTCAACAAGAATATCTAGAAGTGAAAACAGGTGTAGCTGAAAGAGAGCTACAAAGTATAAAAGTAAAGCAATGTAAGTTTATAATTTTTAAAATATTTATTTAACTTTTGAATGAAATGATTTTTGAAGTTGCATTTTATAAAAGTTCTTAAATATATTTGTATTTAATTATGATCAAATTTCAAGATTTGTAGGTTAAATAATAATAGATGTTTTCAGAGTTGAGAGAGTAGCTTTTTCTAATTTAACTTACCAAGTTTTATTTTGTAAGCATTTTTGTGAAATTTTTTTAGGAAATCATCTAGTCTAATATGTGTATAGATTTAAAAAAATAAAAAAGTACTCTAAAATTTCAACTTTTTATCATTATTTAAAACATATTTCATTAAAAGCAGGAAATCTGTAATTGTTTTCATTTTTTAATATGCAAATAGTTTTATATTAATATATAAAAGCATTTCTCTTGTAAAATTAAGTAATATAAAGTACAGTTAGTCTACAAATTTCTCACTGCACAGTAACTTTACAATGACATTAAAGTTATATTTGTGGTATTGCATATGAGTCCTGCAAATTGTATGCAATGCTATATGTATAATATTAAAGTCATTATAAATTTTCCACAAAAAACAGTGACTTTTCAGATACCCTATACTGAATTTAATTAGCTAAAGAAAAATGATATTGCTTATCATTTAAATGCAAACACTGTTTACTATTCACTTATATTTGTACTTGGATCATTATTGTACTTTTTTAATAACAAATTTATCTTCAAAACACTCCAAAAATATCTTAAAAATTGCATTAATCACTTTAAATTATCATAAATTTGAATGGAAGAAATTTCAACAAAAGAAAAAAAAATGAATTTCTTCTTTCAGCAGTGCAGGATATGGAATTTGTACATTGAATCAATTGAATATTACTACTAATTTTATTGCATTATAAAGATTAAAACTATTAAACTTTTACTTATTGTACTGCTTGTACATTTTACATTTGACCTTTATTATATTAAAAAAAATGTTTTGTTTCAAGATCATTGCAAAAATTTTCTTTAAACAAAGCAAATTTGAGTTACCTGGTCTGTGTTACATATAAAAAATATATAAAACTGAGTATTCCCTACTCAATAAATGTATTGAAAGCATTGTTGCTGTTTGCTGATGTTTATAAGCAATACAATGAAAATATCATTTTAGTGTTTTTGTTTTGTATGTTGTTTATCTTTCAAAATAGCTATGCTGAAAAAGAAATTAAAATTTTATAGACCAAATAAGCCTTTATTTTATAAATGAAAATTGAATATTCTAATTTAAATTATTTAAAATTTTAATTAATATTATAAAATTAATAATTTCAGTAAGTAAGACATCAGATTTGGCGTTATCGGCTTTAGCCGGTCTTGCGAGTACAGAAGATTTTAAAGCAGTTACTCTGAAAAAAAGTAGTACAGCAGAGGGATGTGCCTTATTGCCCATAAAAGATGTTATGCTTGTGCAAATTAAAGGTAAATAAAAAAATTATTGCTAGTTTCATAAAATAAAATGTTAATATTGATATAAATCATGAAAATGTTTGCTTTCTGATAAATTTTCTCTAAATTATAGGTTAAATATATTATTTAAATAAAAAAAATGAACTAATCATCTAAAGTTAAACAAATAGTAACATCTGAACTAAATTTATATGTTATAATTACAGATATGGAGTACCTGATACATAGAAATTAACAATAATCAAATCTTAATTTACAATAAAACCATAATCAGTACAGAAATACATTGATTCTTAGTCAGAAATAGAGGAACTCTTCATGCATGTAGATTTAATTTTGACATTGATGTGGATTGAAAACAATATTATAACAATAAATCAAAAGTATTTACTTTGAACTAATATATTAATAAAAAAAATAATAAGTTTTGATGACACAATTTTTTATACACTTTTTTGCTTCTAAACATTTAAGTTAAAGGTTTCAATTTATTTAATCATTTGATAGAATTTCTATGTATAACGTCCTTTTGATAGAACTTGATAGACTTTACTTTTGATAACTTTGTTATATTAATATATGTATTTTCTGAGTATATTATACTTATGTCATCATTTATCTAGGTTTAGATTTTACTATCAGCTACAAAATTTTAATAAATATTTTTTGACTATATTTATTGTATGTATTTTATCAATAAACATACAATTGATTAATTGTTTCTCTATATTGAAATACAGGTGCTCACCTACTTATAAATATTCAACTTATGATCTTTTAGACTTATGAACAATTTGACAATACATTAGTTCAAACACCTTCACATTGGACTAATCAAAATAGTATAATGCATCTCAAAAACCTCTGGGTGCCCAGCAACAAAACTCATGGATAAATGTAAACAAATGTTTTCAGACTCCTGAACTCTGCTTTAGGTTTTCTGCTTTTCTTTAACTTTTTAACCTATCCCATGTTGAAATTTTTCTTCATTGTGTGTGGCTGCCATGTTGAATTTTTGTCAATGTTAAGCCTAATGAAAATTTTACATTTTTAAAAAAATAATTGTCACTATTGTATCTTCTGAAATTATCTTTTTATTTTTCACAAACAAAATAGTTACAGTAAACTCCTAATTATCCGGGCTAATGGTGGGGAGAAGTGGCACAGATAATCCAGAAACACAGATAATCCGAACTATAATTATTTATTTCTAAAATACAACATGTAGATTCGATGTAGATTCACCTTTTTCAAATTTTTCAATTAATGTTAGTTTTTGTTTTATAGTAAGTACAATTTTCTTTTTATTATATAGCATTTTAAGGGTACTTACCTGAAAATTAAAAAAAACATCTTATCTTACATAATTTTACACTAAAAGTATTTGTGGGAGAGTTATATCAAATCTTAAATTGTAATATGTATTATAACATGCAACTAAACGAAACTTTGTATAAATGTACTCACTATTGTTTTCTTCTCCGAAAAGAAACATCTGGCGTGAAAGAAGCAGCCTAACTAAAACCAGTCCAGCTGACTTCAGATACCCCCACCACCCGCTTCAAACGTCTAAATATGAACACGTGCACACTTATAGGATGTGTAAACATGAAAGCGAGCAACTATTTAAAAAATACATACACATATAATTATTTTTTTAAAAATTAAATTCATGCACGAATAATCTGCACACGGATAATTGGGAGTTTACTGTATATTAATAAATATAAAAACAAAAATACAAATTATATTTTGGAAGTTAGTTTTAATATAAAAATTATAACGACTAGCAACATCTAGTTCCAAAAACATACCAATACTGTAACGAGATATCTAAGGTCAAACGCTCGAGGTCAGAGTTCATACCCCAAAAATTGTTGGTAATAATGCAGGACAGGTTAAACACAAAATCGACTTTATCTGTTAAAAACGAAATTAGCTAATTGAACAGTTGTTAAACTAGTTTTACTATACAAGTTCCCCTTATAGCTTGAGGAGTAATACAATTTAGTCAATAGCAACAGAGATAAAGTAAGTATTCAGAGCTTAAAGAGTTAAATGGAATGTGAAAAACTAATGTTCAAATTTAAATTAAAACTCTATGTAGTTCAGCAGACATACGAAGCTATATCATGATGTAATTTGGAGGTCTACATTGATTGGATGGAATTCTATAGATAGTGCCAGAGCATATATTGCTCTCCAAGCATATGAAATTTGTTTTTCTTCTTTATAATTAATGCATGTTCCCATCCTTTTATTTTAAAAAATTTCAAGGACTTCAATATCCTGGATGACTTCATCTTCACAGGCTGTGCATATCAGCATTGCCTGGTGGAACAAAGCTTCTAGGTTAGCATTTCTCAAAGTGGGCAGTAACGCCCCCTTGTGGGCAATGAGTAAATATAGGGAGCGCTGGAGGCAGGATATTGAACAGTGACCAAAGGCAAAATTGGGGTCACTGAAAGTCGTTCCCTTTCCTCTGTTAAACTGATAAGAGGAAACATTGCGTTTAATGGTTTCCAGATGTTGAGAACAATGTATGGTAAGGGCACAAAGTGTGAGATTCATAGAAAAGTTTTCCTAAGAATATTTCCAATCCTTTCTCACACAAGAGAAAATGGGTTAAGTGGTGTTGAGTATAACTTTATGGAACAAAGGGGACAGTGGATCAAAAAAGTTTGGGAATTACTGCTCTAGGTCTTTATCAGAGGCATGTGTGGCTAGGATAGTGGATAGTTTTTCCTTGTCCAGGTCATATATTGATGTTCTCTTAACCTTAGTTTTAATGATCTAGTTGTAGATCCAATCTATGTTAGGTCATTGCCAATTTTGTAATCCGTTAGGGTTCACAAGATCAGCAGTGGAGCCTGAAAACAGGTGCCCAGAGCTTAAAAACATTTGTTTATGTTACCTTTAGATTTTGTCACTGAGCACTCAGAGGTTTTTTGAGATGTTATACTGTATGTCTAAAATTTAAATTTTATGCAGCAGATTAGTGCTTCAGAAATGTGTCCAAAACATAATAGTATATCTAGCAACAGAGATAAATTCAAGAGTGTCACTCTATTATCATGGAAGCTAAACTGAACATTATAAAACTGAGTGTGTTAGGTGGAAAAACAGTGTTTGAAACACCTTCTACTAAGCACTAGCAAGAGGGTAAATGTGTGAAACAAATTCTGTTAAGTACATTGAAGGATGAAACATTAACAATAAGTGGTGATTCTGTGTAAAAATGTACTTTCTAGGTTAATATTCAATTTAAAATCATTTTGACTCATGACAAAACCTCAGGAACCTAACCTGCTCTTAGGGGAACGTCTGTACATAAACCAATTATATTTTTTTAAAATTTGTTAAATGTATAATTTTGAATTGTTTTTAATTTTATTAATTATATTACAGGGAGAAGACACATTCAAACAAGATTAGTAGAACCAAAAGCAACCAGTATTAATCAAGGCGATTGTTACATTCTAGTCACACACAATCAAATTTTTAATTTGATTGGAAAATATAGCAATATTATAGAAAGAGCAAAAGTATGAAATATTTTTATATTTGGAATTTTTACTTTAAAATAAATTTTATTCTATATATAATTTAGGATTAAGATATATGGAATATTTAAAACTTAGAGTACATAAATGATAAATTTGCAGCAGGACAATAAGTTGTTGCTAAATTTTTTGGGAACCAAATATATTTATTGAACTGAAATGTTTAATAAATACAAACAGTCTGGCCATATTCAACAAAAAAAAACATTTATGAAATTGAATAACAAGGTTTGGAAGAATATCTGCAAAATTGAATTGAATCAAATAATATGAATTATAAATGTAAGATAATTCCATTTGTATACATATTGAAACTAATACTAGAATTTAAAGACAAATTCTGAACATAACTTATACAAACTTTAGAAATTCAAAGCATTTTACTGGTAAAATTTAGGGATTAATTATAAATATAAATAAATAGAAATAACTCTTGTATAATTGTATAAAAGTAAATTCTACTAAGAAATTCAACAGCAACTTATTTCTCTAATTACATGTAAAGCAAACCTGATTTATAGTAATAAACAAATGATAGTGAAAGATTTTAATCAAGCCATAATTGGCTAATTAATTTTAAAGATGTTATGTAATTGAGACTAAAGGTGGTGAATTAAATTTAATAATTAGAAATAAATTAATTTATTTGTAATTATTAAACATAACACAAGATGGTGACTTAATCACCTACCCTTAAACCAAGTTATGTAATATCTTTATAATTAATTAGCCATATTATAGCCAGTTAAAATCCAGTGGTATTATTTATAACTTATTTTTTCCTTTACAAACATAATACCAAGCTTTATAAACTTTTGTGATAAATTATCTTGAATCATTAAATGAAAATAAATAAAAACTCTAATTCATATAATATTAGATTATGACATTTTTAATAGAATATTAATAGAAAATTTCAGAAACACACAAAAATACTTTATAAGGTTTTGAATACCAGGTTTTCAGCCTGGTAGTATTATTTGTGTCTTAATTATTTCATCACAAATTAAATTGTTTAAAGTAATATAATTTATTTATTGTCTACAGATTTCTTGTACAAGGTCTGTTCAAAAAGTATCAGACCTTTTTTCTTCCGCGTAAACCAATGATGCGCGACAGGCCTCCTTCAGTGGAGTTGTGGAGGGGACAGTCATGCACAGCCCTGAATTTTTTCCCGCCTGCAGGAAGCGTCAGTCGTTGGCAATCGGCCTATGAGTGAGGTCATGTAGTGCGCTCTCGTCGGATTCCACTAAGCTGGAAAATGACTGAACAACGTGAGCAGCGATATTACATCAAATTTTGCCAAAAACCTTGGCGATACCCGAGTGTAAACCATTCGCAAGATTCAGCAGGCTTTCGGGGACGATCCTCGAGGCCAAAAAAAGCGCGGCAGGTCCGCAGCAATATCAAAGGTCATGTTGACAGTTTTTTCGACTCTCGTGGGGTGGTGTGTCGTGAGTACGCACCACAAGGCCAAACCATCGCAAAGGAGTACTACCAGGAGGTCCTTCGTCGTCTTTCCGATGCTGTGCGACGCAAACGACCGGATCTGTGGTCGATCAAAACTTGGCAACTCCATCGTGATAACGCATCCGCCCATTCTGCGCATCTGATTCGGGCTTTCGTCGCCAAACATAACACTCCTGTGGTTTGTCACACTCCGTACTCTCCCCATATGGCTCCGTGTGACCTTTGGCTATTTCCCAAGCTGAAAATGCCGCTAAAAGGAACCCGAATTTAGTCGAGAGAAGACATCGTGCAAAATCCGACGGAGCGGCTGATGGCCATTCCAAAAGATGCGTTCCAGCAGTGTTTCCAGCAATGGCAGGAACGCTGGGAGAAGTGTATACATTACCAAGGAAATTACTTTGAAGGGGATTAGGGTTTTGTACCTCAAAGTCAATAAATTTATTTTTACCGACCAAAGGTTCGATACTTTTTGAACAGACCTTGTATGTACAGTTTCATATATATAAAAGATTATTATATTAATATGGATGTGTAAGGTAAAGTTTTTGAGGTTTGCCATTCTTCTGACTTTTTTGAGATTATGTTGGTTTTAAAATTGGTTTTCAGAGAGATAGTTATTGAGGAGAGACTATTTTAATTGTAAGTATGTGACATTGTACTTAAAACTTAACTATCAGACAAATTAGATATTGGTTAACAGAATTTTTACATTAAGAATTAAAATTATGAAAATTTGAAAAATATATTTTAAAATATTTGTGTTTTTCTCCCACGATAACTGAATGCTAATTGAATAATATGATCAATGCAAATTAATCTGATTAATAGCAAGACTTTTAAAATGTTTACTAAATGTTTTATTAATGAAGCATACTATAATTGCAAAATATTGCTAATATAAAAGCTGGTGTGTGTGTGTGTGAGAATTCTTATAATTTCTGCAATTTTTGGTCCAGTATAAAATGATATATAAATAAATGTTTATTAATTTTAATTAATTCTTATCTTCTTTTGTATATTAATAAATTAATTAATTGGATCTGAATAGTAAGGTAACTGAAGCAAAAATCAAATATTGACATAAATAAAAAAAATATGTTCAGATTTTGTTACAACAAAGTATTCTGTGCAAATGAAGATGCTTGCAGTATGTACTGTAGATTAAAAATATCATATGTATTTAATAACAAAATGAGTAATGTATAATTAGTTTGTGTTATTTGAAACTTATCGATAAACCGTGTTAATCTCAGAATAACTATTCATAAATTTAATTATTGCTAAAATACTTTACGTTTCTAAATTCAACACTTACATCACCAGTGAGTTCTCCATTGAGTTCCTCTGTTGAACGATCCAATGTCACATTTTGTAGTTTTTAAATTCTTGTGTTGAGTGGTTGCTTTTTATGATGGCCAACTTAAGTAACGAGAAAGCATCAGTTGTATCTGTTTTGATAAATAATATTTCAAAAGGGATATGCAAAATTTACTACTTTTACAGAAGTTGCCATGTCGATTCGTTGAACACTCATGTCTTTTGGGCTATTGAGACCATTGAGCTCAACGGCGAACTCAATAGTCCATTTATAAATGTCGTTTTCTTACTGTTGAGTCAATTGTTGAATGTAGAAACAGTATACTAAAATATACTAAATAGTTGAATATACTAAAATAAAATTTTATACAGTAGATATACTGTAGAAAATTTTATTTTAGTATAGTTTGTTCACAAAATTATGAGCAATTAGCACGAGACAGTCGACCCCCCCTATAATTACGGTCCCTATAATTACGATTCCTATAAAACTACGAAAAAATATACGTATTTTGGAAATGTTGAGTCGGATTAGTGTAGAATCGATTAATTTTATGGAAGAAAACCTTTCAATCAGCCGTAGTCCGTAAACTTGACACGTGTCGGGCTGTGATTGGAACGACTTGTAAGAAATCGGATTCCTAATAAATTGGAACGTATCTATATCTTATAGGGGGGTCGACTGTACAGAATTCATTGCAGTATTATTTAAATGTTTAATTATCATTTTTATATTTGGTTTGTAGTTTTTTTTTTAATTTGTGATTGATCTAAATTTTTTGTTAAAAAATCATCTTTACCTTATCTTTTTTGAGAATGCAAGTTTTTATTTATTTATTATTTTTATTAGAGTGCTGAAATTGCTTTAACAGTGCAACAGAAGAAAGATTTATGTTTCAAAGGCACTGCAGATATCTTAACAATTGATGAAACAAAAAGTCCCTCTCCTAATGTAAAAGAAACTTTTTATAATATACTTGGAGGAAAAGAAAGCGATTGTTCTGAGGCAGGAAATCCCGAAGAAGATGAGGTAATNTAAACAAATATGATTAACAAAACACACCATGAATGGCAGTGACACCAAAGTAGTAAGTGCAATGGTGTTTCTCAACTTTTATGAGTTTTTAACCATCTCTAGTAAAGGAAAAACAGTTGATTTTTAGCTTTGTTTTGAGAAATAGCTCTAAATTTTTTCACTTTTAAATTTTACTCCTTTTTTTTGAAGGTCTTCAAAATTCAAGATAAGCTGATTTGGAGAGAGCTATTTCTGCAGAGGAATACATAAACTGTTGGTTCTTTTGACTTTTTGGTCTACAGCTCTGATGTGATCCCAACCACCTCATTCTAAGCTGCATTTGTATATATACAGTAAGACCCCTCTTAACACTGCCTTGCTTAACACTGATTCAATATAACATAGTCTGCTCAAAACCTTAAAAAAAGCTCAAAATTTACACTGATTTAAATTATTGCGGCATTTTATAGATTCATACATAATATGATTATTTACGAACACAAACCAATCAGAAAAAAGTGGCAAAAAGGTATGTGCTCCCTAAATCTATGTTTGTTTGGTGCAATTCTGGAAAAAATATAACATCATGGGTTTCATAGGCAATAACAGCTTTGCTTGGCAAGAATTAACTGATAAATGCACGAACGAAGTGTGGAAGAAGTTATGGCTGAAGGTATTGAAGAATTCTCAACGAGAAGAGCCTATCATTGTATTGTTAAGTTGATCAAACTCAACCTAATGAATACAGCAGGATTAGGAGATGTAGATGAACAAGATATTGAGGAGTTATCGCAGGTTTCTGGTGAGAGTCTTACCAACGACGACCTTCAGGAACTGGCAGAACAAGGAATTCATGTAGAACTGAATAGTGATTCTGAAAATGAAGAACCCAAAATATTTCTCTACAGATTTCCTTAGTAAAAATTTGGTAACGATAACCAAAATTGTTGATTAAATTGTAGCAAATGATCTAGATTTTGAAAGGAGTGCAAAAGCAAAACAAGGCATTTTGGATGCGATCTTCTGCTACCAACATTTGCTTAAGGAAAGAAAAAGTGACAAATGAAACTTCACAACTTTATTGCGAAAAAAAACAAGAATTTCAGAAAAGTCAAGACCTTCATCACACAAATTGAACTATTAATATAGAAAAAATGAACTAATTAATATATCATTATATCTTTCTGTGTGCATATGTTTACATTATTTAACATATTTTTATATTAATTTATATAATAATACAACTTAAAATTAGAGTAAAATTTTTTTATTTTCGGTTGCATTTTCCCCTATCCCTATATACTCTGTTAAAATGGTCTCGTTTAACGCTGTTTTGTTTTGTGCTTTGTTGTCTAGGAACGCATCCCCCACATTATGCGGGGTCTTACTGTATTATATATATATATTCTTATATAAAATCTTGTAAGATGTCTGCTGTAACTCAAAAATATTTGGATATTTTAAGTTTGATAAAGCACTGAATAATCAGCATTTTTTTAGGTTTTTTAGAAAAATGGATATTTTTAATAATGTAATTCATTCAAGCATTATTTACTTTATCTTATTTTAAATATAAGATAAAGTAAATAATGCTTGAATGGAGTAGATATACTTTGGTTGTTTCCATACAAGTACAAGTTCATCATCAGGGAGACATGTTGAATTTTTATAATGATGTATTTATGCCATTAAAGTATTATTTTTTCATTTTAATTTTATGGAGTCAAAATTTATAAATATTTTAAAAGTTTTTTAAAACAAAATACAAGTTTTAAGATTATTATTTTTCAGATATACGAGGCATTCATTATCGACACAAATATGGTATATTGTGTTGAAGACGATACATTGTCACCGTACCAAGAATTCTGGGGTAGTCTACCTAGGATAGAAATGCTACAACCTGATAAGGTTATTTTTTATTATTATTATTTAGTAATTTGAAAAAAAAAGTGAACTTGTTTCATTGTAGTTTTGAAGACACTATAATTTGTTAAATATTACATATAATATATAGTGTCTTCAATTTTTTAAACTCTGTTTTGAGAATCCAAGTAACAATACTGTAGTATATATAAAGTGTGGAATTGGCAATAAAGTATTGAATGTTTTTCTGTATTATTCTGTTATATATTTATATTATTTTAGTCAATAAAATTATAAAAGCAGGAATTTAAAAAATTTTAATACTTTATCTAAGCATATATACATATAGTATGGCATTACTTTTAATACTTTGAATGCATTGTGTTACAAACTGCCCCTATTTAAAACTGTTTACAGTGACATATTGTTTGCAAATTTGATTAAAAATTTATCCTGTAATTTATGATATGGTATCAAAAACAATGAAACAAGTTTGCTAACTGATGTCACTCCCAGTAAATTTTCATCTTTCTCCAAGATAACACGACAGTTTTAACACAGTAAACACTGTCATGTCAAATAAGGTGGCTTTTCGGATTGAACACTGCATTGTCAGACCAGCGGACCTTATCAAAGCATCCTCTGATATTTTTTCCATACGAGTTCATAAAACTCAACCCTTTAATCATCATCTCCATCATCCATGCAATGTAGGTCTTCATTTTTGGTATTTTAGAAGTCTTTTGACACTCTTTTGACTGATTTTCAACTTACAATAATCTATGAATTGATTTTTGAGGACTGTTATTCCTGTTTAAAGATTTTTTGAGTTGTTCTGCCTTTGCAAAGCTAGTTGCTGTTACAGGAATCCCTTTTCTTCCAAGATCACTGAAACTTCACATTTCTTCAAACTTCCTGATTAGTCTAACAATGTTGTGTCTTTTGGGCTGTTCTTATTCTAAATTTGGCATTTAACAGATGAGTAGCTTCACCTATTTTATTTTTGTAATAAAATTTTAACATGGAAATACTTTGCTCTTTGGTTAGGTAAGAAAGAACAATGCTTTTTTCAGCATTTAGAGCTCTGAAACAAAAAATTAAAAGTTAATTAACATCATATATACTATACACCTGAAAAAAGTGTATTATTCATGCCTTGCTTTCTATTTTGATGTTGTTAAATAATATCAAAACAGACATATGGATCTGTTAGACAATTTTTTCATAAAATAATGAGTCAAAAATAAAATTTTCATTGTAAGTAAGAAATTTGTGTTCTATCAGTTGTGAGCTGTATTTACATTTTCTTGTTTGCTTCTGTAGATTAATATATTTCTAATGAGTCATTTCAGATCTTTTAATATACTTTCTTTACAATAGATTTATTCTATATAATTAATAATTAAACCTATTTTTAAAATAATACATATGGTATAAGTGTTAAAACAATTTTATATAGTGAATGTTATATATAATACTAATTGTAATTTTCAGGTACTGGTTTTTGATTTTGGAAGTGAAATGTATATATGGCAAGGGAAGACTGCACCTTTCGAGAAAAGAAAAGTTGCGGTGGTGTTGGCAAAAGAATTATGGGAACAGGGCTACGATTATTCTGAATGCGACATAAATCCTCTCAATGCTAGTTTAGGTAGATGGCAAGTATTATCTCAGAATAGTTAGAATAATTGCTACAGTTTTGTATTAGTACACAAAATGATTTTATATTTACAGAACAAAAAATCTCTCTAAAGGGATCTAAACGTCCCGATTGGGCTATTTTTGCCAAAATTAATCAACATATGGAACCAGTCTTATTTAAAGAAAAGTTTTTTGATTGGCCAGATTTATCTCGAATAATAAAAGTGAAGAGTCAAGAAACTGATGAAAGCAAGGTTTGCAGTTTTAATTTATTATGTTGATAATGGTTAGTTATTAAAAGTAAACTAATTAGAGTTTGAACACAGATATTGTCTTTAACATAGTCATTTCATTTAATTACAGGTATCCCTTATTTAGCATGATTAATTAATCTTTTCATTCTACCTTGTATATCAAAATCATGCTAATCAAATCGAACGATCACCAAATGGGTGGTGATTGTGCAGTCTGATTAACAGGATTTTGAACAAATTTTCAGTTAATAACAAATATTTTAATTTTAATTTTGTCATCCATAAGAAAAGCTTCATATGATAAAAATTTGTAACTAATTTAAAAATTAAATTAAACCTTAGAGCTGCTTACCTTCATCAGACAAAATTATACTTGATCCAGTTTGTTTTTTTTTCATTTAATGCATGCAGAACACAATCATCATGTCAATGACACACAAAGATTTGTTGCAAGTTCACAAGTTGTTATTTGTTCATTTTTAACAATTTCTTCCTGAAATTTTTTTTTCAATAACTTTTGGGTACCCTGTATGTTTTGTATTCTTTAGTTTAAAATTTCCCGAGTGAAACTTTCAAAACCACATTTGATGTGTCCGATGTTTAAGAGCATCTTCCTCATACTCTGAGTATTTTTTACTGTTTGTATAGCATTATATCCTTTAAAAAGCATTCATAATATGCTTGATACGCATTTTATATGCAGACATTTCGATTTGATTTTACACAAACAAAATGTGAAGTAAAGTTTTGAAATTAGCTTCTAAACAAAGAATACAATATCACTTTAGCAGTAGCATGTTAAATTTCACAATTATCATAATTAAACTACATATCTATTGGGTTGTTCGGAAAATAATTTTGTTTTTTTTTTACCACTAGACGGGACGGATTAGTCGTATTTTTCCCACCATTTTCATTCTAAACCGTATTATCATTATATATTTTAACAGCTAGAATTTTAAGACGTATTTGTAAAAAATTTTGTTTGATTTTGTGCAATTGTTTATTGTTTGTGTCCCATCAAATATGGAAGATTGAAAGCAGCATTTTAGGCATATTTTGCTCTTTTATTACCGAAAAGGTAAGAATGCTGTTCAAGTGAGAAAAAATTGTGTGATGTGTATGGAGAAGATGTATTGACAGAACAACAGTGCCAAAACTGGTTTACAAAATTTTGTTCTGGCAATTTCAATACTGAAGTTGCACCACGTTCTGGATGGCCAGTTGAAGCCAATGAAAACAAAATAAAGGTACTGATTGAAGCAAACTGCCGAATAACAACACGTGAAATCACTAAGAGATTAAATTTGTCAAATTGAACTGTTTATGATTACTTGAAACAAATTGGTTTCGTTTCAAAGCTTGATATATGGGTTCCACATGTTCTTAAAGAGAAGATGCTCTCTTTGGTGGGATTTTAAGGTAATTTTTTTTTTTTGGAGCTTTTAGCAGACAATTTAACAATTGATTCGAAAGTGTACTGCCATCAAGTAAACAACTTGAGTACTATCATCAAACAGAAAAGGTGGCCAGAATTGATCAACAAAACAGGTGTAGTGTTTTATCATGACAATGTCAAATTTCACACAAGTTTGGTAACTCGTCAGAAACTGTTATAACTTAGATGGGACTTGCTATCACATCAACCATATTCATCAGATTGAGCACACTCAGGTTATTACTTGTTTGGGTCTGTACAAATTTTTTTAACTAAGACATTTACTTGAAGTGGCAATGTCAAAAATCACTTGGATCAGTTTTTTGTAAGTAATGATCAAAACTTTTATGAATGTGAAATCATGCTACTACCAGAAACAATGACAACAGGTATTTGACCAAAATGGTCGCTATATAATTCAACAAAATATTTATTTATTATAAAAATATTGTGTTTTTCCCATGGAAAAAAAACCAAAATTACTTTCCGAACAACCCAATATATTGGAAATCACCTCAACATGAAAATAAAAAATTCACCATTACCTTATTTGCTGAGAAAAACATATCTGTATTCAGTATAGCTGTTAAACCATGTTAATTAAAACTTCTGTTGTGTACATATATAAAAGGATTTCCACAATTAATTTTGTGCGTTAATCAAATCCTGCATTAAGCAATGGATACCTTTATTTAAAATAAATTTGATATTCACTATTTTAAATTAATTTGTTTATAATTTTAAAGAATCCATTGAAAATTCTTGAGATCACTGTAAATGATATCATGTGAGACTTCGGGAGTCGTTACGATGTTATTCATAACCCTTTAGTCTGTCAGGTGGTTAAGGCTCACTCACTTTGTTGATGGATGGCTTTTTAGTATGTCATGGGGATCGCAGGATCCTTCCAACATCAGGACTGACACCAGCTAGGGTAGAAGTTTTGCGCCCTAACTTCATGATGTTAGGATCTAAACATTAAACAGAGGGCTATATTCTATTGAGCAGGGAGGAGTTGTGAGTAAGTTCCGACCATAGTAGGATGAATGTCCGTACTTAACTAACAGAGGGAATCAACAGGTTAACAAACAACAAATAGAATTTAACGAATAAAATAAAACAAATAGATACATAAATCGAGATACATAATATAACCTATCATAAATCGAGCCTATGTAAAATACTCCTCTAAATGCGAGAGAGAGAGAGAGTTACAATCAGTTAAAAATAATGATAATATCTCTGTCGATCAAACTTGGAGAATGCGGGAGAGTCAGAGTGGGACTATCTTTTTCTAATTATTATGGCAGGTTCAATCTGGTCATGGACTGCAGTTAATATGGCAAATCTCTTCTTCTGTAGACTGCCTATCGTTTATGGCACCTTCGTATTATGGAGGACTGCCATCACTATGGCAAGTTCTTTTTGTCTTGGACTGCCTTCCTCTATGGCAGTGTCTAATTTTTGTGGACTGCTTTGAACTCATGAATTTTTCTCCTTTTCATTCTAAGTTTACACCAATCAGAACAGATGTTTGTCAGATATGAGCAATAACAACTTTCTAGGGAAAGTTCTATTTCCTTTTCCCAAGACAAATTATGACTTTTGTCTATTTTATCGCTAAAATATTACATTGAAATTATTAATCAAGCAGGTAAATCTAAGACTGTAACCAGCATGTGTACCAGCATGTGATAAATAAAACGATTAAATTTTCAAATAAATTGCTCTCCACTCTCGCATTCTCACAATCATGTTATATGGATATAAGCATTAAAATAAACACATGATAAAAGTTTCACAGAATAAAAGAAACATTTTTTTAAGCTCATATTTTTCTGTTTTAGTCTGATGAAGTACTTAATTTGAAGCCGTGCAATACCAAAGAAATGATCGAACAGAAACCACCAGAACCTGATCTCGTCCTGGAAGGAAGTCATCTTGGACGAGGAACGGAATATTTTGATTCGGCTGAGCGAAGACATTATGAAATTACAACGTTGGCAATAAAAATATGGCATATTTTAGAATACGATCATAATCTCCTACCAGAATTGAGTTACGGACAATTTCACAATGGAGATACGTATGTTGTTAGATGGCAATATATGATAACGCAGACAGGTTAGTATGGATTTTCTAAAACTAATAATAAAATTAAATGTTGTTCAAAATTTTCAGAATATATAGTTCAGTTTTACTGAAATTTTTTAAAGACATGGTATTAACTCAAACCAAGTTTATATGCAAACTGTTTACAAGAAACTTTGACAGTAATACTAAATATGTTTTTTTTGATAACACTGTTTTGATGAATTAACTTCAGCAACTTCAATTCCTCTTTTTTATATANGAAAAATTTATTTAAAATAATCATTTTTTAAGTTGTTTAAACTATTTTTAAAGCTTTTTATTAATAATATTTCTTATTTTTATGTTAACTAAACATATAATTTCTGATTAGAGATGCATAACCGTAGTTCAAATTATGTCGGTTTTTTGGATGAAATTTCTAATGTTTTAAGGAAATTTGTTAAATATTTGAGTATTTTCGAGATTTTTATTCATTTTTATACACATTTCTACACATTTTAACGATTTTTAGGCTTTTTTTTTTCTTGTCAGAACACTCGAGGAATTCATTTGGGAGTTTGATTCTATTTATGAATTTTAAACAAGTTTAAATTTATGTACACAGTTTATTTAGTTGTCAGAACACTCGAGGAATTCATTTGGGAGTGTAATTCTATTTATGAATTTTAAAATATAATTCAAATTTTTAAACTATAGATGATGTCTATAAGTTATTGAACAGATTAAAATGCTTAATAAAACAACTAATCATAGATGCATCAAATACAGCAACTCGATAAAACTTCTTATACAACAATCCAATTTTGTGTTCTTTCCTCATTGATAGATAAGTTTTAATGGTTCTATTCCAAGATTTCCTTTCCCAGGGCTCATTCTTCTGAATTTCTTTTTGGAGGGATGTAAGGAAGGGAAATTTGTGAAATAGATTATTGATATTGCAAACTTGAAACATTGGATGGTGGAGATAGTGGTTTGTCTCCCAAGATATCCTGCAAAACACTTGGTGAGAAATCAGTTTCAGATTGGATATCGCACATGTTACTAAAGATGCCAGTAGTTTCACAAGAAAAAACTTCTTGAGTTGTTATATTCACTGTAAAAAACAATTACTTCAAAATGTTATGGTTTATGCTTTATTAAACACATTAATTTATCAATAAATTGTAAATACCTTGTATATGCAGTATAATTTTATTATAGTCTTTTTGGGGCTGATTTATACTGATAACATAAGTGAGAATAAGTAAATAAGACTATAGCTGGTGGAAATTTTGGTTTTATTGACTCTGGGATTAAAAGGATATATATATTTTTAACTGTTTTAATATAAAAGATTTATTAATTATAATTATTATTGTACATTATTAGTGATTCATTCAGTGTTATTTTTCTGCTCCTCTTTTTTAATGCCATCAATTTAAACAATTGTACAGTGAAAAAAAATTGAAATGATGATAAAAATTTAAACTTTAAAACATTGTTTAAACTGCAGGTTGAGGCCGATAGGGCACAAGACATTTTTTACCTGATAATGATAGCTATAACTGAATCTCAAAATACATTTTGCTTATTGTAAGGGGCTCTATGGGGCCTGCTAATTCTGAGATATTGTTATCATTTAATAAGTAGATTCTACTATATTTAATGTGAAAATTTTTTTAATAAATATATATATATATATAATATAGGTAGAGATTTGTCAGGACAAATGTCCAGACATTCGTTTGTTGGACGTGAAAGGTGTGCTTATTTCTTCTGGCAAGGAAGTGAATCCACAATAACAGAGAAAGGTGCATCTGCCCTCATGACAGTAGAACTGGATGAAGAAAGAGGACCACAGGTATTTATATTTATTAATAATGTCTTTTGGGTAATTTTAAAATCACTGCTTTTTTCCAAGATGAGTTACTGCAAATATTTTTACTAATTGTTTTTACATTTATAAATAAATTTTGATTTTTAACTANGTGAAAGTGCTGGTGGAAGTGAAGGAAAGAAAGCAAAAAGCAGTGAATAAAAATTTTAAAAATATATATATAAAAACAACACTAATTTTTTTATCTTTTCTACGTTATTTTTAAGTTATTGTTACATTATGTTATGTAACTTAAGTTTTAGTATCATTTCCCTTCTCCCTCTCTTCCGCCACCAGTTTACATCTCCACCATCATCTATCCTCGAAGGTAAAGTGCAAATAAAACTACATTTTTTTTTTTTAATCAATTATTATTCTATTATGGTTATTTATACATTTACAACTACAAAACACATTTTTCAGTGTTTTCCTTACTATAGTTATTTTTTTTTAATGTACTACTTAGCTTTAATTTGGAGTGTGTTTTTCGTGTTGGAACAAATTTTTTGGTTTTACATGTAATTGTATGGGAAAAAATGATTCACCTTATGACATTTTCATGATACAATCTCAGTTTTGGAATGGATTAATTTTGTATCCTGAGGTACAGTACCACTGTATTAAAGTATATTTGCTGGTACATTTTTGAATGTTTTGTTGGTGTCATTTAATGAAGCCATTACATCAGGTCATGCATTGGTTCCATCTTCTATTTCAGAAGAATAAATAAAGAAAGGAATCATTAACAGCATGGTTTGCCCAAACCGGAAAATAAAAAACAATTATACTTTTTACTTGCATAAAATTTTTTTATTGTTATTGTTTTATGTTAATTAAACAAATTTTCAATTAGTTTTCATTATTCCTTTTTTAATCAGTTCCTTTAAATTTGTCCTTATTAATGTGCATTCCTTTAAAAATAACTGTTTAAACTGTAAATCTTTGATACAAAATTTTTTTGAAGTTAAATATGCCTATTTTGGCATGCATACTCAAAAAGGTTTGTTACTCCTGGATTAAAGTAATAGTTATTTCTGTAACTTGGAATGTCTTCTCTATCCCTTTCATTTCAAGTTATATAAAGTCAAAATGTATGTTTTCAGATATACAAAGTGCCTTGTACAGCTTAATTAATAAGTTAAGACATATAAATATTACAATAAAGCTTAATTATTGAAGCTTTTTTTTACGCAATGTAGTTTTATTTTCAAACTTTGACATAATCATTATCATTGAACTCTGTGAAAACATTTATCAGCTGTTGCTCAGTGATTGCATTCATAATACTAATCCTAAGATCATCCAAAGAATGAGGTTGTGTTATATATAATGGAAGTGACAAAAAATATTCATTATTTATGCTTTCAAATGTTATTTATTGTAAGTCTGTAACATTTATACATCTTAAATTATTAAAGTCTAAAACTGTAAAATGACTTTTGAAACACACTTTGCTTATTCAAGTAANTTCAACATTTATTTGTAAAGAATTATTCAATTAAACATTTAATGCTTAATAACAAAATTATTGATAATATTTAATAGTTTTTTTGCAATACTTGGAAATTATAATTAAATAAAAATATTGTGTTATTAATTACAATTGTGAACCGCCAGAGAGGTCGGGAATGGTCGCACCTCCCTTTCCTTCACTTGTCAAGATGGCTGTGTTATAATAATGGTCCTGACCCTCGGGACCATTATCGTAACATAGCCATCTTGACTCTAGGTTGGTTGAGTGGAGGGAGAATAATCGGGGTTGACGATAAGGTGTAGGCAGTATATGAGTAAAGGAGTCTACCATTTAACAAATAAAACAAGAATTTATTAAAATAGACAAGATTAACAAAAACTACAAAAACTAGTCTCAACGCTCCTAAGAGCTCGAGAGAGTTTACATGGGTTTCCATACCTCTTTGTAAGTTTCCACGAGGATTCGAGTTCATTAGTTGCACAAAAATATCAAACGTGTATTTAGGGTAATCCAAATTGGCACAAATATAAAAGTTTGCGAGGTTCGGAATTTGCAGCGAGTTCGGAGATTTAACTAGACGATATCTGATGACATCAGTCTGGCTTTTGTTAGGAGACTCCCCCGAGAGGGGAAGAAAGCATCTTTTACAGCTTTTTGCTGGGAAAGTCGGTCCTGGGATCCTGGGACCCAAAACAAATGATCGAATTTGGATGCTATCTATAAACTTTTGTGCAAGTTGAGCTGCAAGCTGTGTGAGAACAATAGAATGTTGATAGTTATGAAAGGAGGGTTTAAACATTCCCAGCTAAGATTGTTTTTTTTTCCAATCTGTTGTGTAACGAAAGTAAAAATAATTAAATTTTTGGATTAATAAAGTTCTGGATCTCACACAATTAATTTTAAGGGTCTGTCTGGATATGTTGGGCCCATTCCTCCCCATCTGGCAGTCGCAATATTAGGGTCTGCTGAACCCATAATGGGTTTGCAAAAAAAGAGCCCTCTTAGTGTTCACAGAACAGATAGTTAAAAGAAAAAAAAAACATTAAGAACATTTTATAATTGTATTCTGTAATTATAAACAGTAATACTTTTATATTTTTTTGAATTTCATTTTGATCTCTAGGAGCATTAATACTAGCACTTCCTAAATAAGTTATTCGATTAAAAAGTGTGCATAGTCCATCAGATGATGATGATCTAGAAAGAGTACCTATTGAAAAAATATATTAAATTATTATTGTTTTTCATCATATTCCTGTATTCAGTTTTCAAAACATTTTCAAAAAGCTAAATTTTATCTCATTGATCAAATGAATATTGACTTGAATAAAATCAAGGCTATAGAGTTGGAGTCAAAGTTGGAGTTAGAAGCAAATTCATTGGAGTCAACTCCTCTAGAAATGAATTCACAATGCCAAGCTGCAAATATATCATTTTGTTTATTTATATTATCAATGTTTCTGCAAGCCAGTTTTACCTGGTCAATCAAATATTTCTCTTAAAAGTATTTATCATCTTATTTTACTTGATATTCAAAATTATTAATTTTTAAAAAATAACCATATTATAGAACAAATATTCAATTAAGTTTTATACCACAAGTGATATTTTGTTGTTTAATAACAACTAAGGTTTGTAAGGAAGTTTTTAGTAGATCCAGCTAATACTGTAGATTGACCACCTAAAATTACTTTATGGAAACTAAGAACACTGCACTATCATATTTTTGGTTAATTTTTGCTTGGAACATTTTATGGAAATAGTGAAAAAAATTTATTTTTCACTATTTCCATAAAATATGAACTACATTTGTAAATAAAGATGTTTGTTTAAATAGTCTAAAAACTTGCAATAAGTTTAACTTTATATGTATAATAGTTTTGTACATAAAATTATCATCAAATTGCAAATATTTTATTCAAACATTCCTAATCTAATATGAATGTCTATATATTTTCAATATGACTCATTATTAAAAAAAAACTAAATCAATTCACAATTATTAGATAAACAAATTAAGTGATTTTTTAAAATAAAATTTTAAGCATTATTTATGTAGTATACTGAACTATTTATTGTATGCTAAATAATCCATAATTAGTTGCTTAATCAAAAAAGAACATTTATACAACCATTTGAAAGCTATGAAAAATTAATCAGAACATATATAAACCTATTTAAGTATAATAGCATAAAATTATCACTTAACACTGACATTATACAAGTACTAAAACATTATTATTTCACAATCATTAACTTTATAAAATTACCATAATGTAAATATGCACTTTAAGTAAATTTTTGAATTATTGTCATTTTTAATTTTATTGTTTCTCATTTCATTTGTAAAAAAATTGTGCAGAAAATAAATGTTTAATTTCTAAAAATAAACTGTCTAATTGCACTAAATTTTTGTTCACCTATGTAATCTTATATCATAAGTTGTTATTTTTTATTTATTTTATTTCTCAAAAACACACTGTGGCCAGGTTGGCCTTTTACAAGCATCTTAAAGCAAAAATCAATAAAACCAACAAAAAAGAATAAGTAAAACAAAAACAGGATGCGAGCTGAGAAAGAAAATTACATTCTACCTCAAGTCCAAAAATTAATTGAGAACAAATATCACTATGGCTTAAAGTTTTCTCCTTTTTTTACATTCTTTTTGAAGATTTCATAACTTGATATGTTATGTAAATCGTTGCACAGACTATTCCAATAAAAGATTAATTGAAAGATCGGTGCAGATCTCCCCACCTCTAGTTTAACAATTGGGAGACTATATTCACGAATTATATGAGTATCTCGTGTTGATCCGCGACATTCTCTTATACCAATTCCAAGGAAGCCGTTTTCCTTTTTGCCCTTTATATATTTGAAACCCTCCAATAGAATCTTTGTTGTAAATTTCACTAATCTTGTCAATATTATCAGTGCGGTAGAGTTTGGATACTGATTCCATAAAGTTTAAATTGTGTGTAACAATTTTGTGCCATCTAAAGTTTATTAACTACGTATAGAGATGCGGTTTCCCATACAACAATACCATATCTTATTTTAGATTCAATGCAAGTGTGGTACAGCCGTTTTGATAGTGATGTACTTAAAAAAGCTTGAATTTTCTTATTTATCCCAGTATACTTTGCCAAGGAAAGTGCAACATCATCTATATGTTTATTCCAGTGCGGATTGTCATCAAAAGTTACTCCCAAAAACTTAATAGCATTTACTTTTTCTATGTTATAATCAGTTATTTCAATTTTTAGGTGATGTGGATAGATCATTTTATTCCTATTTGCAAAGCGGAGGAATTTAGTTTTATTTTTGTTAATTACTAATCCATTCTTTTCCATATAACTATTTAAAGTTTTTAAAATGTGATTTAAATTCTCCTGAAGAATTATAACATTCATATGAGAATCAGTTATCACTAGATCGTCAGCGTACATCGGTATATTCTCTTTTGGTATATAGTTAAACAAACCATTAATATATATATTGAAAAGTAGTGGACCCAAGATTGAACCTTGAGGAACACCCTTATTTGGCCCAAAAGAGCTAGAGATAATCTGTCCAATTTTTACAAAGTAAATTCTGTTTGACAAGTATGATTTTAACCAGCTTAGAGTAGTCCATCTTAAACCAGCAGTTTGTAATTTTTGATACAAAAGTTCATGATTTAAGCTATCAAATGCCTTTGAAAGGTCCACAAAAACTGATACAGTAGAACCTCGAAAACTCGGCCTAATGTGGACCGAAGGGTGGCCGAGTTTGCGAAAATGCCGGGTTATCGGGAATGGGGTTAAAAAAGGATAAGTATGCGTGTTTCCTCAGAAAATAGTGTACTGTACTTGTATGTATTGTTAACTTGAGAATACAACAGAGAATAAACTGCCCAAATACCCTTAAACAAAGGAAAAGTACGTACTTTATGAAGGCATAGAGCCTTTATTACATGAAAATGAAAATTAATGAATACACTGTGTACAGTAATTTACCTGATAAGACAGACCTCAGAAAAATACTTTA